TCGCCCCAGCTCACCTCCAACAGCACACTGTGTTCCTCTGATGTCTCCATGGTGCACAAAACAAAGAGTTTGAGGTATCATCGAGTGACTCATGACATCTAAATGATCCGAGGGTGAAGTCTTTATTTCAGCCTTTGTCCTCTTTGATCTCTGATGAGTGCATGGCGCGTTGCCGGGCTGAATCAACACCGTGCTGAGCGTGTTGCTTCAGATACCAGCGAGACGATTACACTTTGTGCAGCAGGACTCGAAGGTGGAGTAACCAAATAAACACGCAACACGTTGTAACACTCACACGACTCCAGGAGCTCATTATCACGAAGAGTAATCATTACGGAGCCATCATGTGACTATCAGTCTCACGTTTCCTCAATACTAGAAGTTTGAACAGAAAGGTGGCTTTGAGATGAAACTCCCACTTTTTGAAAGTCCAATGTGATGTCTTTATATATATAGGAGGGTGTGGCTCAGTGGTTTATTGCGCTGATCAGCACTGGTTCAATCCCCTCTGCAGTCAACATGCCGCTGTGTCCTTGGGTTAGACACTTCACCCTGGAATTGCTCCACAGTATTCGATGTATTACATGTCTAATATATGTCATTTAAAGCACGTTGAGAACTTGGAAAGGCTCTAAGAGTTATCTATCTGTCAGTCCTAAACCCAGAGATGTTCTCTTTAATAATATATGTTAAAGACAAATAGATAGAAGCATCAGTTTTGCATGAAAAATGACGTCATGGATTTTTTTTCTGTCGCTTGAATAATCGCTGAAGTCGATATTGTTATTATTTTTATAATCATTACTTTGATTTAGTTAATGATATCCATGCGTTATGTTCTGCTTCTAACAACATAATAGTGTTAACATGATGGTTAAATGTTTGGTTGTTGAATAAAACCAATTCAAGCTCCAACAGAGGATGGTACTTTAGTAAAAAGAACAATCATTTCTGAGATGAGTAAAAAAGAGTTATGTAGCACAACTTAAAACACGTTAAAACACGTTTTGCTCATTAATTCAAAGTCTTAATTTGGGGTTTATTTGTGAGGTTTTCCTCGTACGATGTGAAATGTATGATATTGGGCTAAATAAATGAACTCTGATCTGTTGAACCACCTTAGCCCCTTTCCCACCAAAGCAGCTTACAGGTGAATTCAACATGTATATTTTCTACTTTCTTGTTTATTTCTAGTCTTTTTTATTTCTCGTGTACGATGCCATGTCTTTTATGCTGCTGCAACACAAACATTTCCCAAATTGGAATCAATAAAGTACTTCTTATCGTATCGTATCAGATATCTCTGATGTGACGACAGGCTGCAGTTATAGTCGTGGAGTTTAATTCAGCAGGTGAACCTATTTCACACTTTTTCACCAATTCTCCAGGACCTTTACCTCATTTTCCATGACCAAAAAAACTCTTTCTCTGCGGTACCACTGAAAATGGTTTATTTGAACATGGAACAGGAAAATAAGGTCTGAAACATGTTGTGTCTATCGAAAACAAATCCAGTAGGCTTACTAGCTGCTACATGCTAACGCAACTCAAATCTCTCACCAGCAAAACACCTCGTCAGTTAAAAGCCATTTTACATTTGATTACTATACGATACAGTATTTATTAATGTTATAGTATATCGTTAATATTTCGGCGATTAGCTAAAATATAAATTATATTTGATGCAACTTTAGTTACATTTCCATGACTTTTCCAGGTTTTTAATGACCGTAAGAATCCTGTGTAAACTAAAACGGAGCATTTACCGTCAGCTCAGATTTTATTTCTGCTTTTTTAAACTGTAGTCTGTGCTCATGGGTTTCAGTGTTGGTGTGTGTGCTCGTGTGTGTGTGTGTGTGTGTGTGTGTGTGTGTGTGTGTGTGTGTGTGCTCGTGTGTGTGCTCGTGTGTGTCCGACACCACCGGCATTTGTTTTCAAATTACCACGAACATT